CACACACACACACACACACACACACAGACATACAGACAGACGGACAGACAGAAATAGAGAGACAGAGAGACAGACAGACACACACACACACACTCACACAGACAGACAGACAAACAGACAGACAGACATACAGACAGACAGACAGACAGACAGACAGACAGACAGACAGACAGACAGACAGAGACTCCCATAGGGGAACTTACTTGCAAAGCAGACAGGAAGGCGCAGCTCATGAGCACGGAGAACACGGCAAAACACACAGTGTAGTTCTTCTCCGACTGGTGGGCCTGGCCACACGGGTGGTCAGGGAAGGTGGTGGAGTGGTCAAGCGCCATGCCCACGAAGAACATGGCCAGACCCCAGCCCAGGGAGCCGAACATCCTTTGACGCCCGTAATTTTGCGTGTCTTCTCCCAGGAACGACAGAGTGACGGAGTCGGCAAAGGTGATGGCGGGAGCGCTGAAGAACTCGCCGATGATGACGAGGAGAAGAAGAATGAAGAAAGCCTGTTGGACCTCGTCTTCGTGGTAAACGATGGTCGAGTATCTGTTGAAGACCAGCTTTTTGATGTCGGAGGAGTTGGCATTGGCGATTTTGCTGGCGTCCACTCTGTAAGGGCTGCGTTTGTTGACGTGATGATGGTTGTCGTTGTTGTTGATGTTGTTGGCGTTGTTGTTGATGTTGTTGGCGTTGTTGTTGATGTTGTTGGCGTTGTTGAGGTGGTTTTGGTGGTGGAGTTTGCTTGCGTCTACTTTATAAGGACTTCGTTTGTGGCGGCGGTGATGGTTGTGGTGGTAGTTGTTTTTGTTGTTGTTGTTGTTGTCGTTGTTCTTGTGATGAATTGCGTGTTGGGTTCTACTGTTGAGGTGGTTGTACGTATCATCCTCCGGAAACATTACAACCGGATGTTGAAGACCGGTGAAAGCAGAACTTATCAGCACGCCTGACGGGTGAGGGAGGAGACTGGAGGGGGCCGAATCAACTGATGCAATTTTCCGGACAAACACGCCGGGTCTGTCGTGCGTGTTGTGGAAAAAATTATCACCTTGACCTTCACCAATGACGCTTTCCGCCAAGTGGCTTCCGGAAAAGATGGGCGTGGTCGTTGTTCTGTCGTGCCCGACCACGCCCAGCTCGCGTCTCCTTCTGCTGATAGGACCTTCTAGAACGTTGTGGGTTCCGTTGGATTTGAGACATTTGTGCGCCGGTGGTTGGACGAAGGCGATAGCCATGGTGAACACAATCCAACATAGGAGAGCGAAGAGCAGCATCTCTTTCCCTCTCCGCCATTTGTCGGCCAGCCCGCCCCAGAAAGGCGCGCTGAGGAACTCGACAAATGGACGAAACCCGATGAGGACACCGGATTGTGACGCGTTCATTCCCAACTGTTTGAAGTAGATGGCGAGGAGAGGGAACAGAGAGCCGAAAGCTCCGAAGAAAAAGAAGTAGAAAAGCTTACAGAAGAGGAGATCACGGTCCACCACGGTAAACATGGAATCAATAAAGTCCCGACTGAACGGATGCCCTTTTTGCTGCTGGCCAGACTTCTGTCTTGCCCCGTTTCGCAACTCTGGGTCCTCGCTGTCAAAATTACTAGCCTTCACATTCTGGAACGGGTCAAATTCGTTTTCTCGAGGGTCTTGGCCCTCCTGAAGCATCTTGGTTGCCATGGTTACTAGGTAACCTTTTCTTCGAGGAGCCTGTTTACAGTTTATTCCCCCTGTGTGCCTCTGTGTCTGTCCCCCGTGTAGAGGAATTCTATGAGGAGAAACTTGATTTGAGAAGCGTGCCGTCTGTGCGGGATGTACAGTTCCGGAACGTGCTCAATACAGGAATTGCTGACCTAGGGAAAATACAGGGGGAACTGTCTGTGATCTAATGGTGTGGGCGGACATAAATAGATAGATAAATAGATACATATAGATAGATAGATAGATAGATAGATAGATAGATAGAGAGATAGAGAGAGAGAGAGAAAGACA